AAAGGAACCCGCCGCCGCCACCGCCGCAAGAGTATAATGTACACTTTTATTGTAGGAATTTTTTTTGTAACCGTGAGTGTATATTTTATAGTCTTATCACAAATAATTTTTTCTTTGTTCTGCTCTGAGCGCATGTTAAATGGTGGTTTTATCGCAAAACATTTTTAATTTTTTATTTTTTGTTTATAGTCGCAACAAGTGGTCATATGAGAATTTATGATGTAACCACATACTTGAATATATGAAGATAATATATTTCGTTCAAGGTCATGTGTTTTCCTTTGTTTTAATTTTTTCAATACAAGTTTCTAAGCGCTTCACGTTTATACATGAATATGAAGATTATTCATTTCATTCAAGGTCATGTGTTTTCCTTTGTTTTGATTTTTTTAATACAAGTTTCTAATCGCTTCTCGTTCATGAGAAATTATTGTCTTTTTATTAAAGTTCATATGATTTAAAAAGCCTCTCACTTCATTTTTTCATTTTTATTGAATTTCCAATGTAACTTAAAAGAGTGAAAAAATGCCTTCTTTAATTCTTTTTTCTCAATTGACGGCCTTAAAGTGGAGCCCATTCTTCAAACAGATGAAGGCGATTTAGTGTTTGTTCGGCCAGGTGCCCCGAATCATTATTTGAATGAATATATATCTAATCGGTGGAATAGTTACACATGGGAAAGTGAAATTATGAACACCTCACCTTAAAGAAATGGAGTATCGTTTTGACGCCATAGCGGAAGTAACACTAACAACAATTAACAGGGCGGCAAAGTATGCAAAAATTTCAATTGTTTATGACTCTTTGTCCGTATATGAGCCATTTATAGCATATGTTACAAGATTCATTGTTTCACTGAATTTTTCTAAATTCACAATAAAAAGAGAAAGAATAATAGATTAATTATTAGTATTTTTATTTAAAAGGGAAAGAAAGTAAAGAATAGTAAGTATATAAATACATCTTTTTAATTATCATTCTAATATTTTAAAAAAACTTTCATATAATGGATTTCAAATTTTATATTGTATTATTACTTCTTTTCAAAGCTGCCTATGGGGCTCCATTTTGGGAAAAAGTAAAAAATAAATTGATTAGAATAAACCAAAACTCGAAAAGTATTCAATTTAATTTAATATTCGGTAATGTTGATATGAATGATATTTTAAAAATAAATGTTTCATTATTATTACTGAAACAAAGTGAAGTGAAGTGTTTGGATAAAAAATTTAAATAGATTACTTGGATCTCAAGTTACAAGACATGAGAAAAAATTATATTGTATATTTGTAATACATATCTAATTCAGTTTAATAAGGAAGAAGAATTATTTACCCATAAAATGCATTGTAGAAAAATTGTTACACATATGCCTAAACCTGAAAAAAGAATAGTAAAATTTGAAAATTTCAAAAAACAAATACCATTTACTATATATAATATGTACATTTCGAGTGTATTCTGTAGCCAATAGATATACAAAATTCTACTAAGACACAATATGTACAAGAATATATTCCTTATGCCTATTGTTATTTTATAAAGTGTTCATATAATAACGAATTGAATCGCTTTAAAATATATAGTGGAGGTGATGCTCCAAAGCATTTTGTTAAAAGTATTTTCGATGATGTTTTAGATATTCACCACCTATTTTTGAGTAAAACAGTTAAAATGCATCCATTAATTGATACCTATTCCCTTAAACAAAGAATTGTATATTTCAATATCAAAGAAAATATATGTTAATGAAAAAGACATCATCGAGCTTCGGTTTATAGATTAATTTCGTTTCGTGCCTTCTAGTTTTGACAGTTTAGCTAAGAATTTAAATAATAATGATTTGGAGATAACCAAAGTTTTTTTTCCTAACGATCATCACTTTGTTTTAATGAAACGTAAAGGTATTTTCCCATATGACTACTTAGGTTCAGAAGAACGCCTCAACGAAACTCATTTACCTATTCATTCATATTTTTTTAATATATTAACAAATGAGTCATCATGCACAAAATGTTTGGACAACATTTAATTGTTCTTATTTATTAGATTATTTATTATTATATTTAAAAGTAGATGTCCTACTCCTCACTGACATTTTCGAAAATTTTAGAACATTCATAATTTTATTTTGTCGGGGAGTAGGGGTGGTATTGTTCAATGCTGTAAACGGCATTCAATTGCTAACAATAAATATTTATGTGATTACGATGTGATTATTTAATTTATTAAGATGTTAATAATTTATATGGGTATGCTATGTCACAATATATCCCTCCCAATAATTTTGAATAGATTGAAAACGAAGAGGAGTTTAACGTTTTTAGTATATCGGAAGATTCTTTAGTTGGTAACACACTGGAAGGAGATTTAGATTATCCCATCATTAGCAGCAAATAAGTTTGAAGAAAATTTCTTTAAATTATTAAATAATGCAGTAGATAAAAGAGTAAATGTTAAATTAGTACAAGATTGGGAAAATACTAATATTGGGAGGAGAGTTAGAAAAAAATAGGAGCTAGAGCCTTAATAGCAAAACCTAAATTCCATAGTCTAAGTAAATTTTCAGAAAATTTAATAGCAATTCAAATGAAGCAAATGTCAGTTCTATATAATAAACTGATATATATTGGTTTTATCGTTTTAGAAATTTCAAAATTTAAAATGTATAGTTTCCATTATGATTATATCAAAGAGAAATATAAAAATAATATTGCTTTCAATTATATGGATACTGATTCATTCATATATGATATTCAAACTGACGACTTTTATAATGATATTCGTGTTGACATTCTAAAATTTTTCGATACTTCTTCATATCCAATAGATAATACTTTTAATTTTCCTCGATTGAATAAAAAGGTTCTAGATATGATGAAGGATGAATGTAATGGAAAGTTAATAAAAGAATTTATTGGTTTAAGAGCAAAAATGTATTCATTTAGAATTGATATTGATATAAATGAAACTAAGAAAATTAAGGGAATAAAAAAGTGTGTAGCTTCTACATTGAGTTTAAGTGATTTTAGAAAATGTATGTTGGAAAATAAATTGTATAATGCATCAATTTATACATTTAGATCTAAATTACATACGATTTATACTCAAAATATTTATAAAGTAGCTCTAAGCAATATAGTTTATTAGCGAATTGTACGGGAAAATCATGTTGATACTTATGCTTATGGTCATTTTGAAACATTATAGTATCATAGTACTTTATTATTGTAATACTAAAAAAACAAAGAGAGAAAATAATAAACAATTTGTATTTTACATTACTTAGTTTTTTTTAAATAAAAATTTCAAACTCAATTGATCACATATGCCTTTGTAATATTTTTGTTTCTGTTCGTAATTGTAATATATTGGTGGCTTCAGGTAGTTAATCAGTTCTACCGGTGGTTGTAAATTTCCAAAACTATAAAAATATTCTTTCAGCATCATTTAAATTAAGAATTCCACATTCTTCTGATTTCGGCTTATTCGGTAAAGAATTTCGCATAAAAATTCCCCTGAAATGTTTCAGATGTTTGCAATATTTCATTAAATCAACATCTGTTAATGGCCTTTTGGTTAGCTGCTTTATTAGTTTTTTGGATAGGGTCGTTGTAAATGACTGCGGATTCTTTTTGTTAAGCATATTGATACCTTCTTTTACTGCTTACAAAAAACATTTGTTAGATGACATTTTTCTGTTTTTCATGTTTTTACGTTTTTTACATTTAGATGTATTTCTTTTTTTGTTTTTCATACCCATTCCAAATTTGAGTTTTGCTTTCATTGCATTTGTAACGAACCTAGCGTTTGCTCGTTCTTTTAAATCACTATTATTAGATGTAACACGCTGCCAGGCTTTCTCAGATAGAATTTTATCAGCTTGCTGTCTGTTATTTATATCTTTTGCTTGAGAATATGCAATATCATATTCCCAGCACGCTGCATCTAAAGGATTTATACCTTAATCTCCTCATTCTTACCGTTGTCTGAGTTTTGTTCCAGGACCACAAAATTGATATCCGGGTAAATGCAGTTCAATAGGCAAAGAATTATTCCAATGTATTTACAAAACCCTGACCAATCTTTTTTTTATGTATTAGACCCATTATGTGATTTTTTCTTAATAATAATAATAATATGGTTGTGTGTGGGTGTCTTATAATTAAATGATGTCTTAATAATAAAAGTAATGATTTATATTGCTGAAAGTGTAGTAACCAAAATGAAAGTAGTTAAGCAACGTCTTCAACTTAAGGTTAATAATGTAGACAATTATATAAATATTAAAAATGTTACTAGGCATAGTCCACTTTTACCAAATTCCATAAGACCACTGATTGTCGCTCCATCGAATTGTGGAAAAACTAATGTTATGCTCAGTTTAATTGAAAGCCCCAACTGACTTTATTTTCAGAATATATACATTTATTCAAAATCATTATATCAACCGAAATATATCTACCTAAAAAGGCTTATTGATCCGATAAAAGGAATAAATCTTTATTCATTTAGTGAAAACGTTGATGTTATCAAGCCCACTGAAGCCAAACCGAACTCAATTTTTATATTCGATGATGAAATATGTGGAAAACAAACAATAATACGAGATTATTTTTGTATGGGTCGTCATAAAAATATTAATTCTTTTTATTTATGTCAAACTTATAAAAAAATTCCTAAACACTTAATTCGTGATAATGCAAACATTATTATTGTATTCAAGCAAGATGAAATGAATCTTAAGCATATCTATAATGATCATGTTATTGGAGATATGTAATATAAAACATTTTTAAAAATTTGTGTTGAATCTTGGAAAAATAAATACGGCTTTGTTGTTATAAGTAAAGGTGATCCCATAAACAATGGTCGATATCGAAAGGGTTTTGATAATTTCATACAATTATAAAACATCAGTACACATATATAGACCAGACCAGATTCTTATCAGATATACAACTGATAGGCAGCAGATTTTCGATCACTCGTTAAAGATCATGGTAAATAAACAGATGAGTGTTTTAGCAAATATTGCTAAGACCATAATAGTATTAAAAGAAAAAATTAATAGAATAAAATTGGGTGAATTGGATAGAATAAACTTGTTGGAGGATACATTTAAGCCCATTTCAAAACCATTAAATGAATTAGTTGATAATTTTAAAAACTCTAATAAATATAATGTTACTAATTTCAATGGTAATGATGATGATGGAGATGATAGTGATGGTGATGAAAATTATATGAATAGTAATGATCTTGATTTAGAATATTCTCCAGCTAGTTCTCGGAAACAAAATGTTAAGAAGCGAAATCCTAATAATATCATGAAAAATGAACAATGCTTTAATAAAAAACAACAAAAATTAGATAAGATTGTTAGCGTTAAAGAGAAAATGAATTTTATGAATAACCCTGAAAGGCCAGCATTGTTTATACCAGGTAAACTTCATGATGATGATCAATCACTGAAAGCAGCAGCAGCAGATGCACAAAGCAATGTAATGAAAATTGAAATAAATATTGATAATAAACCAGAAAAGCGAGAAGTTGCTATTGATATCATTAATGAAAAATGTTTTAATAAAAAACCGAAATTAGATAAGGTTGTTAGCGTTAAACAAAAAATAAATTTTATGAATGACCCCGAAAGGCCAGAACCATATATTCCTTGTAAACCAAACGATGAACAATTACTAAAAAAGGCTGTAGTAGAAAACCTAAGACAAGCTGAAGAAACGTATAATGATAATACTTCTCCAACTGAAAATGATATTTTAAGAAGAATTGAACAAGACCCTGATCTATGGCAGAGACATAAATTTACAAAACGACAGTCTAAAAATCAACTAAATGAAGATTTTAAACGAGTTAAGCTAACTCCATTCCACCCCCACCACCCTCATTTACTATTACAAAATATAAAATTGCTTAAAGATCTTAAAATGCTTTATACAATACATTGTATGGGCCGAATAGGGGTTCAAATGGTCGATGGCGATTCGGACTCAAACCATTAAAAATTACATCTAAAGATGTTATACAGATCGGAAGGGAAAAATGGAAATGGACATGGTCTGTTTGAGTTAATATTTTATAATATTTAATATTTTTCACAACACTATAAAAAGTGTGATTTGAAGACCTATCGACAGATTTTATTAGATACAAGTGTCCTCAAACGTAATTATAATCCAAATAACCAAATAAAGGGAACAAAATCATTTAAATATCTTTATATTATCAGGAAATTATTCAATTTTAATCCACACTCGTTCACAAGTGGTAGTGGTTTATTGAAATCATTCGATAACCGGAAAAATATTTATCAATATTGGGATAACCCCAATGAGTTGGTGTATAGATTGAGATTGCATATATCTTCAACAAGTGCCGGTCATAAGAACCATCAAAACGAGATTATATCAATTATTGAGGAGTTGCGAGAAGCATATATAATATTATTAAATAATATGAGTATAAATAAATTTGGTCAAAAGTGAATCTAGACCGAAACAAAAATCTTAATCTGAACAAGAAAAGAATAATTAACCTAGCTGCTCCTATAGAATATGGTGATGCCATTTTGAAAGTATTTTTTTGAATGTTAAATAAGATGAAAAACAAATTAGAAAATTAAATCAATCAAATTATAGTATTAAAAATGATGTAACAATTCGTGAGGATCAAATAGACCAACGAATAAAAGGTGCATGTGGGGAAGAATTACATAATATAAATAACTATCTAACAACTATTGAGGACTATTTATTGCGTTTCGTTATGGCGAAACAACACCTGACAACACTGACAAAGACGTTGAAGTGCTAAAAATAAAATTCCCTACTATAAAAGGATTAACAAAATCAAAAAAAAAAAGATGAATAACAAAAGAGCTATTGTAGAAGAGTTACATAAACAAGTTAGAAAAAAATTTAAACGAAGACGTGTTATTATTAAAGCAATCGATGATTTATGGCAAGCTAACTTGGTGGTAATGACTCAGTATTCAAATAGTAATAATCACTATCAATAGCTTTTAACTGTAATCGATACCTTTTCTAAAAAAGCTTGGGCCGAAGCAGTTAAAGATAAAACTAAAGAAAATATAACAAATGCAATGGCTACGATTTTCAACTCAACTAATCGAATACCGATGATGGAAAAGAATTTTATAATTCTAATTTTAAAAGATTATTACAAACAAAAAATATCAATCACTATTCAACATTTTCATCCTTAAAAGCATGTCTAATAGAGCGATTCAATAGAAAATTAAGAGGAATGATGTGGAAAGAGTTTGGTTTCGGGGAACTCATAAATGGAATGATATCTATAAAAATTTAATCAATCAATAAATAAAAATATTCACAGTACCATCAGAATGACACCAAATGATGTAAATTTCTCGAATGAACAACATTTATTAGACACCGTATACAGCAATTTAAAAGTTTTTCATAGACTAAAATTTAATATAAATGATGAGGTTAGAAAAAGTAAATATAAACATGTATTTGAAAAGCGGTACACATCAAATTGGACAACAGAAGCTTTTAAAATTAAATCAATTAAAAACACAAATCTTATAACATATTTTCTTGAGGACTACCAAGGAAATATTATTGAGGGAGGATTCTATGAATATGAATTAATGAAAACTAAACTCCCTCATGTATATTTAGTTGAAAAAGTTTTGAGACGTCGAAACAATAGAGTTTATGTTAAATGGTTAGTGTTTTCTTCTGAACACAATTCCTGGGTGAATGTTAATGATATAAATTAAGAAAGAAAAAATATATATATATGTATATGTTAGGCTGTCCCTTATATGGCAAAAAATTTTTTTTATGATTTCGAATTGCATACCCTCCAATTTTTTTATAAGTGCTAAAATGTACTCAAATATGAAATTTCATATCTGTAGCATGATTGCAACCCGTGCCGACCGAGCTCTAAAGTTCAATAAAAAATTGTGTTTTGGTCTGACATTTTGGTTTGATCCAAAACTAATTAAAATGCAACAAATAAAGTAAATATGAGTAAAACTAAAAAAATATCAATACAAACTTTTATTTAAACACAAATTAAAATAACAATGAATTAGGGTAACTTCTCTTCAGTGTAGTTTTTTTACAGTCTGGATACAGATTTCTGTGTTCCTGAACACAACGCAACAAAAGCTGTTCACAAAGCTTTGAAAAAGAAACAAGAAAATATTAAGTACTTACCAAACAAATTTTGCGTAATTTCTTCCTTCGATGGGACTTAGCGTTTAGAGGAATCTGAACTTTCGTCTCTGATTAAATTATTAATCATTTTTGTCTTGGTTTTGGTATCAACTTCTTCATCAAAGAGTGATAATATGACTTTTTCTTCACACAATGAATAAACTTGCTTATGGATGCCTTGGAACTTGTCGCGTCTACTTTTTCATATTATTTTAGAGCTTTCAAAAAGGACAAGTCTTGGTTAGGTGCTTTAACTGCCATTGTACATTCGAGCCAAGGTTTGGTATACAAGGTGACGATGAATAAACAAACATCTTGTAGAGCATTTTTGTCCTTTGCAGTAATTTTAAGTTGCGATTGAAGCAAACATATTTTTATAGAATAGATTGCTGTCGCCATCCATCGCGCTTGATGGAAAGCCCCGGGGGCCTGAGTTTAAGTTTATTCTCTGTGTCTCCTCCTAAGAACACAACGCATAGTTCAACCAATTCGCGGTAATCGTCTCAAACAAAAGATTTTTCCAGTTCAGTCTTATAAAAGCTTAACAAAGATGTAATTTTTCTTAGCAATATGTGCTTTAACGAAATTTAGAGGTGACTCAATGTTATCAGTGTTAATATTTTTCCAATGACCCCTTAACTTTTTGAAAATTGGAATATCTGGGCTACTTGTAATATGTTTTACCTTGGTTTCAAAAACAGCTTTAAGGACCAACTCATAAACATGATGACGACCAGCAAAAAGCAGCAATTCTCTTTCTAAGGTCTGCTCCAAAATAGCACAAGCTCCACTGAAACGGCCAGTATTGGAAGCTGTTGTATCGCAGCACATTATCTGTACTTTATCATGGAGGGTCCAGTCAAAGAGAGCAGTTGAAATGGCTTTAGCTTGATGTTTTCCAGAAGAACTCTCTAATTTCGGTACTGCAAGAAGCTGTTCTCTATCGTCAAATGAAGCAATAATTGGCAAGCGTTCTTCTTTTGAACTTCGTACATCCAATCCAGGTAATAGTTTTCCATCCCAATGAACTGTGACTACGTCAGGCAAATTATTCTGGAAGTCAGTTTTTATTGCTTCTGCCCTGGATTTTCTCGCTTGAGTACGAACTCGCTGAATCGAGGATTTGTTTGTAGGGAAATCATCGCTGTTCAGACCAAGCGCTTCTACAACCGCATGGAGAATGTAAACTGAGTCCGTTATGCTTAGTTGGCATCGATCTAAAGCTGCTACCAGTTTAGGAGTTATTAAACTTTTCGTGCCTCTTTTAAAACTTTTTTCAGAGCAAGGAATCTGAGTACTAGGTTCAGAGTTCGAAATCTGTTCCTCATCCGAATTCTCAAGACATTCCAAGTTATCTATCGAAGAAGAAGATGCAACAGCCAATAACTCTCTTTGTTTTACCTTTCTTTCCTCTTCTTCCAATCGTCTCTGCCTAACTCGGTTTTCTTTCTACGCCAATTTTTTGTCGATTCCACCTAAGCATCCCGGTCGACCTGGCTCTCTCTGTTGCTTCAAGAAATCTTTGTCTTCCTCTATCTTCAATCTGTCAAAGGCATCTGCATGTGCAATATCAAATAAGTTATCAAGGTCTTTTACAAAATTATTTTCACGATTCTTGAAAGTCAACTGATATAAATGAATAAGTTTCTTCACGCAGTTAGGGATTGCCTTCGTAGGAATTCTGGCTTTTTCCCAAAATATAATGCACTCTCTTATAACAAGATTCGCACTTTCACTAACAGTCAGCTTGACTTCACGAATATTGTAAAATAAAACGGTGAGAACTTGTCAATAAGATAGTAATCTTGCACCATTTATCTGGTGGCTTGCCAGTCCGATAAGGAAAATATTTTGTTTATCACTTCGTAATTCCACAGACATTTTCACAAAATAAACAACAACGCACTAAAAATGTTAGAAATCACTTATGAAATCACAATTGAAACTCGCAGTAACAGGTCGCCGCGCTGCTCCCGCGCAACTTGTATGGACAAGTTAAAAACTCAAGTCGGCACGGGTTATCGTTTATAAATCGGGCTAATATTTATTTCTAGACTATATTAGGTCCATACGAAACTTTTTAGAAGGTATGCATAAAAATATATTGAAGTTGAATTTTAAGGGACACCCTAATATATATATATATATATATATATATCTATATGCTCCGCTTTTTCAACTATTTAGTTTAATTTTACTATTTAATTTTTTGTTTATGCACCTTTTCATTATTTCTGGCATTTTTCCTTTTTTTTGGACTTTTTTCACAATATTTTGATATATTCTGTATACATGGATTTTTTGCTGTTTCACTTTATTTAAATTTTCTCAGCATTTGCACATTTTTTTATATTCAATTACAATTTTTTGGCCTTATATAGAAATTCCTCATGAATTGGAAAAAAAAAAAAATTATTCTTTATTATAATATAAATTAGTCAATAATCATTTATTGAATATATGTACAACATACATATAATTATATAATGAAACATACAGGAAGAACAAAAAACACTCACCAAGATGTTGCTGCTGCGGCAGTTGGACGAAAAAGCGGAGGTAAGACCGGCAACAAGTTATTTTAAAAATTTCCACAGATGGTGGAAATCTGAAACGGGCTAACAGGACTATTCCCGTAAATTTGAAGTGTCACGTATACAAGAAAATCAGGAGTGACATCTGTGAGTGAATGTCATTTCTGCATACATAAACACTAGTATTGTAGTTAGTCACGCTAATGGTCAACATAATGAACATTTAAAATTCGTATTTAAAAGACTTGAAAATTA